TTATTATTCATTCAAGATTTTCGATATTTTCGTCTGGCAGTTGCTCCTTAAAATCAGTAAAGATTGTCCATTTGAAAATAAAAATTTACACCACAAAGGAGATTAGTTGAGATTTGTACCAATTTAACATGCAGCAACTTGAAATTTTTTAACAAAAAAATACATTCAGAATCTCTGGACAATTTTACATTTTCAGTCAAAAGTCAAAACCTTAAATATTTTATCAACGACCAACAACAATTTCGCAACCTTGGATATATGATATGTATAAATGTATCAATCTCATCTGCCGACAATATTAGCATAAAATAATGTGAATTGGAAGCCGGAATTGATTTACGTACTCGTTTTGGGTGGGTGTCGTCTCACCAACTTCACTACAGTGTGTCAGTGACTACTGACTAGATCGCAAAAAATATGATCACAATTTAGTAAAATATCAAACGCGCATTAAGATTTGATTATTGAGGATGATTTTCAGGCCACCAGATCTGACCACGAATCGTTTAAAACAGCTGACAAAATACTCAGACCCCAGATGACTAGTATGTAATGGGTTCTAGCACCCTAACCAACCAAAAAAAGGCTCCTACAACAATGTAAATGACTCAATTCTTTTTAACAAATTTTGGTGATGGCTCACACTTTTTCCATAGGAATTGCCAACCAAGCATTAAATGCATTGATACAAATAAACGCATCCACATAATTGAAATTTTAGAGATATGTGTCAAACACACTTGAGATAAGAAGTTTTGCATGCCGTAAATATTTTGCGGTCATTGGATTGTAGATCCCTAGTACTAACGATCAAACTTATTAAAGAGATTAAACTTATTCTAGACTTCTAGTGATATCGTTTTGTTAGTGCTTGAGAAAGATAGGAATAATGATGTCTAGAGACTAGAAGGAGAACCTCTCCATTTTATTTTCATTTACTTGACTAAACCTACCCACAAAATGGAGACAGTGGCCAAGAATAGACGAACTTAGAGAGTACATGGACCAGGCCCAATAGTGGAGTTTTCTAATGTTCTTCTTGGGATAAGAGAGTGGGTGAGAGACCAATATAGCTAACTAAGACCAATTATAAGGAATGGATTGAGTAGATTTTTATCCTAATGGCCTAATATGATATGTAAATAGGCCCGTAGAGACACACCTCAACAGTGATTTCTCAAAAAAAAAATTTTTTTATAACTCAGATGATCATAAAAGTTTCTTAGGCCCATAAAGTAATCTTTGGATTAGAAGAAACCATGTTAGAATGCAAATCTTGGTGGCCAATGATATTCGAACCCAGGTGAACCAAAGAGACTTGCTTATTTCTCAAAGTATTTACACAGGCCATAACTGATAGATACCTCAAAAATAATTTAGTAGATGGTCTGATCAAGAAATTACTATGGCTTATTTATTTATTATCATCATCCAAACAAAATAAAAACAGAAGAGACAATAATACTTTCTATAATATATAGAATTAGTCGGTCTTATGCAGAATCTAACATGGTCAGCAACTTCAAGCTCCAGTTTCTTCATATCCATTGACCGGGAAAAACACTTTCCGATGTTGATCTCACCGGAATGTTCTCTCCTCTCCAGCTACTACTCTTTTGTTAGTTTTTTTTGTGTTTCAAAATCAACCCAAAAAACTGCCTCTTAAACCATCCTCACTGCTTCGCCTGCTCAATGATTGCAAAGAACATAGGAACAACGTTAATGAAAAGATTAGAACTAGAAATTATTCACTTAAGAACCAAGTAGAGAACCCGAAAAGGGCAATTTTCTGCATTTTGATTATTTCATCAAAGAACCAAATAGTAATATTTCTCCTAATATCATCAAATGATTTGGTAGCTAAACAAGAACAAAGTTTTGTTTGTTTACCTGTGAGTAGAGGAAAGTTCCAAGAATCGCAATGGCAGCACCGAGTGCATTAACTGGTTGAATCGGGGTATGAAAAATGATGATCGATGCAACAATGACGGAGATCCGCTTCATCGTATTACCGATACTGAAAGTCAACGGCGAAATCTGGTCTAACGACATGTATGAGACCTGATTGTACAAATGGTAAAACACACTCTGTGCCACTACCCACCTGTTGATTTAAAAAACAAACACAACACATTAAGTACTTTCTGCAAAAGTTAATATCTCAATATGATATCAAAACATGTTAGAATCTTTTATCTCAAGTTAGAAGGGAAATAAAGCAATATATACCAGTCCACTCATAGACATTTGAATTGGAAGTCCCTGAAACTTAACAAACTATTAAATAGAAATGATTTGGTTTTAGTTCGTACCAGACAAAGTTTGGTCCGACTTGAGAAACAGCATTTTGCCAACCAGCAGCCCACATTTGAGGACCTTCGACAGCAATAGCAAATGGAGTGAGGATCACAAGAGACATCATCGATAAGCAAGCGTAGTAGTTCATCCCGCTAACTGATTTCCCTTTCATCCCTTTCTTCGAAAAGATATTCCGAAACACAAATGCCAAATTCGATATCATTGCCCCCATAAACCCTACAAAAACAAACCACAAAGTTTCACATAAGACCATAAATCAAAGAACTGTCCCAATGTGAATTCCATTGGTTATAGAAACCAATCTTCTAGGCTTGTGAGTTTTACCAGTGATGTTGAAGTTAAGCTCTGTGATGGCGGCGAGAGCGCAGCCTCCGATGATTGGTAAGAGAGAGAGATAGACAGGAAGAGGGAAAGTCTCTCCCATGAAGAGTCTTGAGACCAAGACACTGAACGCTGGTTCACCACTTTTAATGATGTGTGTGAAGGAAACAGCTACCTTTGACATACTCACTGTTGCTGCCACATGTCCTATGGTGTGTGCTAAAGCGACCTTGAAGAAGAAGAAGAAGCAAACATCGATCAAAAACATTTTTCATTACAAGACAACAAACAAGTTCCACCATGTTCTGGTTTTTTAATTTGACAGTCAATTTCTAGCTTTGTCTAGCTCGAGCTCTCAATCGTTATTAAACAAAATCCATCAAGCAACATCATGAAAAACCCTAAACCATTACCGGAAGACAGAGCTCAACATCAGTTTCTTACCGGAAAACAGAGTAAATCTTAAATTCTTACCGGAAAACAGAGTAAATCTTTAATTCTTACCCGAAAACAGAGTAAATCTTCAACTATTACCGGATACAGAGTAAATACTAAATTCTTACCCAAAAACATAGATCGAGATCAGTTTTATGCAAGAAATTTGGCAGTAAAACACTAAATTCTTACCGGAAAACAGAGTAATTCCTAAGTTTTTACCAGAAAACAGAGTAAATCCAAAATTCTTACCGGAAAACAGAGCAAATTTTAAGTTTTTACCGGAAAACAGAGTATTCCATAGAGCTCACAATCGTCAGGAAAGATGGAAAGGTTTTTTATAATTTCGTATAAAACTAGATGAAATCCACCAAGCAACAATTACGGGCAAGAAACCCTAATTACTTACCGGGAACAGAGTTTTCCAGAAATCGATATCAGTTTTAGGAGCATCTGCTATCCTAGTAGCCCAAGAGACAAGCATCATCAGAGAACCACAAGCGAGAGACAACGTCGAAGTAAGCCACGGGTAAGGAAAAGCATTGAGGACTTTCTTGTTGTAGATGTTGAAAACAACGTTAAGTGCCCACCAAGTCGCGAAATAGATTCCGATTTTCAGTTTCTGCGCGGATTGTTCGTCGGGAAGCTCGATGTTGATGTCGAGTGGACGAGATCGATCGGCCTCGTAAGCTTCGACTTTGACCTCACCACGCTTGAAATTCAAAGTAGATGAAATGTGTAGAGGCTTTTGATGCGAGACACTGGAGTTAAAGCTTTGGTTATGGCAGGTTTTGATGATGGGTAAAGGAGAAAACTTGAGCTTTGTCGGAATTGACCGCCTTACGCCTCCGGAGATGGCGATGGAGATGGACGATGAAGCTGGTTTGATTGAAGAGATCATTGTGTGTTTTTCTTGTGGGTAATTGATGAAGACGATGATCTTGAGGTGGCTCCAAGATTTTTATCAGAGAGAGAAAGAGAGACTTTGTGTTGTTGGGGAAGTAGAAGAGGAAGAAGAAGAGAATTTATAGAAAGTTTGAGAACAGAGGAGGGAAAGGTTTCGTTTTGAGTGTAACGACAAGTTTTTAGAGTATTCAGATATTTTTGTAATACACGAATATACCCTTTATACTTATGGTTTGTGTATGGGTAATTTCGTCAAAATATCGGAGAGGCGGTGCATGAGCTCATTAAAGATCAGTTTAAGGTTTTAAAATTAAGTTAAGTAAATCGTTTGAGGTTATATAGTATTAACTAATGATAATTTACTGGAAAAAATCTAATGTAAATATTTTTTTCCATAAAAATTGTTTAAAGTTTTAAGTTTTTTTATACTCTTTCCGATCTTTTATAAGTGATGTTTTAGGAGAATGTATATAGATTAAAAAATCATTTAATTTTTATTTATTTCTAAACTAAAACATCATTTATTATCTAATCAACCAATAAAAATCAATTTACAGAATATAAATCGTCAAAACCAATAAAAAATAATTAATTTTGCATTAAAAATAAAAATATCATCAATTTAAAAACAAAATTATAAATTTAAAACATCAGTTATAAAAGAACGGAGAGAGTAATTTATATTGTTTATTCAAACGATGTTAAACAAACTGTCTTCACTGCGATCACTAAAATCTATGACTATAAAGGGACCAAGTGTAAGGCTTTAGGTGTTACGTTACGTTAAGGTAGCAAATATCTATTTTGAAATAGTTAGTATACACGTATTCAATTATTATCTTGATAATTTATCAATTTGTTTAAGATTAAATTGTATACAAAAAATATGAAACGTTCATTTTTTTGTTGTTATTGCCTCATATGTTCAGACCATAAGATATTATATAATAATGTTATGAATTTCTCTAAAAAAAGTTTAAAATAATAATAATTATTAATTTTAGGATATGAATCATAAATTTGTGCGTTTCAAAATTTTGAAGTATACAAAAATACAACATTTCATGTTTTATTTTCCAAAATTCTCTTCTAAAATGGTTAGGAGAGAATTTTAAACGGTTTAATCTAAAACTGAGGAAATAGTTTTACGAATTTAGTTTGGGTTGGCTGATTTTATAGCCATAAACTAGTTGCATTCTCAGATTTTTCCCCCAACCTTTTTGCCTCTGAAAATTCCACCATAAACTTAGATAATTCTCACAATTGCAACATGTACTTTCGGATTCATCTTTAAAACTACGCCTCCAATTGAACCGGCCAATAAACCGGTACCACATAACCCGGTTTGATTTAATTCAAATTTAACCAAATTTAAACCTGATTTTGACCCGAATCTTCTTCCTCTTCACCCGATTTTGACCAGAATTTGTTTTCTTCTTTTTCATCTTCATTCCCAGAACGACCAATAATCCCAAAACCCATCACAATCAAATTTGCAATTATTCTCCCAGTCTGTGAAATAAAGAAATAAACGAGATAAATCTCTCAAAAAATAAAAACAGAAAAACTAGTTTGATTGTAGATCTAGATAGAACAGTCCCCAAATAAATCGAAAAACCAAAAATTTCAAACTATTGTTAAAAACAAAATTATCAATTCAAAGGAAGAACAAACGACAGTAGAATTTGGTTTTGACTGGAGAAAAGGCTTGTTGGTGAAATTCTACTTTTGATTTTGACTTTTTTTCCGGCGATGCCAACGCTGGTGATTACGGCGAGAGAATGCTTGACGGAGGAAGCTGCTCATGCTCTCGACGATGCTGTTGCTGTGGCTCGAAAAGGCTTGTTGGTGAAATTCTATTTTTGATTTTGACTTTTTTTTCCGGCGATGCCAACGCTGGTGATTACGGCGTGAGAATGCTTGACGGAGGAAGCTGCTCATGCTCCCGACGATGCTGTTGCTGTGGCTCGTCGGAGAAGCCACGCCCAGACGACGTCTCTTCATGAAGAGGAAGAAGAAAAAATAAATCGGGTCAAAATCTGGTGAAGAAGAAAAGATTCGGGTCAAAATCGGGTTTAAATTTGGTTAAATTTGAATTAAATCAAACCGGGTTATGTGATACTGGTTTATTGGCCGGTTCAATTGGATGCGTAGTTTTAAGGATGAATCTGAAAGTACATGTTGCAATTGTGAGAATTATCTAAGTTTATGGTGGAATTTTCAGGGGCAAAAAGGTTGGGGAGAAAAGCTGAGAATACAACTAGTTTATGGCTATAAAATCAGCCAACCCATTTAGTTTCGGCTTAGTAATTCTTAATAAAATTTTAAAGACCCTCCCTAATTAAATACTATAAATTTTGCTATATTTTGGTACATTTTCCAAAGTACTGGTATTTTAAAATAAAATAAAAACTTGTCTTTATGGTATTTCTCTTTGATTTTATTTCATGTTACTATATAAAAAAGAATTTTCAATATTCAAGAATTTTATTTTCTCCTCCTTTACGGACTTACAATATTTCCAACCACGGTTTTGATATTCCTGCCATCAATGGTTGTCACGAATCAATGAGTAATTTACATGTGACAACTCAGTTTGTAAGTTGAGCTATAATCAGAACATAAGTATCAGTTCCAAGAAAGTATTGAAAACGCTTTTTTAGTATCTGAAAATCTTATATCGTTAATTACCAAAATTCATTTGTTGAAATAGATCGTCGTAAGCCAAAGGCAATACAATGAATAAAGTTAAATTTCATAATTATTACTTATCGTTTTGGCAACAATAACACGAACAACACGATGTATCGTTTGTCATTTTCATTCGTCATCGATGCTAACGACAATAAAAAGAACAGGATCTATATATAGTATTAATATATAATAATATATATGTGTATGTGTATGTAATGTTAATTTGGACCGTTGAAATAAAAGAAGCTCGGGTCACATGTTGGACGTACAGGCTTCACCATTGATGTAACCTCGCAAATGGAATTCTCACCGTAGAAAATATCACAAGAGGAAAATTACAAAACATAACAAAGTTGTTGAACACATGCAACTGTCATTACACGACAAACTCTCTCTCTTCACCAACACTGATTCATAGAACACATATGTCCATTTGCATGTGTATATGTGTGTGTTTATAGGTCAGGTAATAAATTTGGTTCATATTCGACGGCTAGGAAAATTTTCAGGAAAGTTCGTATAATATTGGGGAAAATCAACGATTCATCAGAAATATCGCTTTCCAAATTGTTCACTTGATGGATTTTTCTGCATGCGCGCGCGGTTGCTCCGTGAAATATGAGTCGTTGATTCATTTTACTATTAGACATTGAAATCGTCATGAATTGGTAATACAATAGAGTTATTGTTCATCGTTTACCCAATGTTAATTAAAATTGTTAAAACAACTCAGATGATAAGGGGAAAAATTACCTTTCTAAGAAATAAAGAATTCAGTTTCACAAAATAAAAATTAAAATAAAAATAAAAGAATTCTAAAAACACTCCATTTGTAGATTTTCTCTTAAACAATTAACAATAATTTGTATCTGTGTTTATTACTCCATTTCTCTCATTTTATAAGATGTTTGATTAATATGTTTTTTTTTGTCTACTTTATAAGATGTTTCACAAATTTTTTATATTGTGATATTTTTGACGATTTAAATTTTGCAGTCTTTTTATGATTGGTTGATTTTTGTTTTTTTTTTAATTATCAATTTATGGTTAGTTTTAAAAAAGAGTTTCTTAATCTTCACATTTTTATCTAAAATATTTTATATTTTGAAACATAGGGAGTACAATATTCTAGAAGCAGCGTAAGACTTTTTAATATAATTTGTAAATATTATTTCTTAACTTTTATTATTTTTACTGTTAAATTTTATAAATTGTAATATTCTTAGGTTTATAATGATCAAACCTAAAAAGATAAATAAAAAAAGTTCAAAGTTCATTTATCTCATTGGCAACTGGACAACACCAACTATTGATATTGAATCTCAAGTCGTTTTCGTTGAAACTAGAACTAGGAGAGTAGTCGGGCTACGCCCGGATATATATATATATATATGAGAATTGACATTTTTTTAAGTTAGTTTACTTAATATTTATTTTTTAGATTCTTTTGTATGTAATGTTGTTGCATAATCATGTGAACAAAAGAATTGTTATATACAATTTTTAATTAATATTATCTAGAGTTTTTATTTACAAATTAAAATTCAGTAGTTGTGTTTTGTCTCAAAGTAGTGGTTTTGGCAAAGTAAACACAAATCTAGAAAGTATAAAGTTGGGAGCCCCAAAAAGTAACTACTATATGCGATGACGAATTGACGATATCTACACTACATAACTTAATTTTTTTTTTTTGTCATCTGAAAAATATATTGAAATCCACAAGGGAATCGTCTTCAGGATATACATCGAAGCAGTCACCCACAGGACTGAGACAACCTACTTACATATCTTAAATATTCCCAAGTAAATTGTAAGGAGCTTAAAAATAAAACTATAGGGAGTCGATAACAAATCACATTATATTTGTTCTACAAAGTCACTTCCAATGTTTCATCTTTGACCATCTTTCTCCTCATTATCCTTTTTTTTTTTTTTTAACTTTAAATTTCCATTAATTAAAAGAAACAAATTACAAGACCCAAAGGCCCAAACAAGGCACGCAGGCCCAACATACATGACAAAAGCCGAACCAGGCACGCAGGCCCAACATACAAGGCAAAAGCCGAAGGGACTCGCACGCCCAAGAAGGAGGAGGAGACTGAAGCACAAAAGCTAACAGGCCTAAAGGAAATCCCTGAGGCCCAAAGAAGAAACCACCTGAGACAGAGAAGGGAAAAGATCACTAGAAGATGGAAAACCATGTAGCTAACAGAGTTAACGCCGGTGGGATGGTAGGCTGATCTCTAGAAAGAGGATCGAGTCGCGCTCTGACTAACACTTTTATTTCCTTGATGATCACAGCAGCAGTCCTAGGAGTAGCGAGGTGAATCCGTTGATTCCTCTCACGCCAAATGAGATAGATAGATGCTTGGTAGAGCAATTTGAGGATTAAAGCAACGTTCTTGTTCCTCGAGGAAGTTTTTAGCCACAAAAGGCAGGCCATGAACTGAGGTGGCGGTTGGTGATTAGTTCTTTGGGTGAAGTGAAGCCAGATTTCGTGGCTGAAGCTGCATTCAAAGAACAAATGATCCCTGGACTCGTTCTGGGAGTTGCAGAGGATACATATGGCAGGGACAGCAAGACCCCATCTTCTCAATCTGCTCATTATCCTTTGAGCCACAAGTTAATACATAAACAAACTAAAATAAAAATGTTTGAACAACTATTCTGGATAAGAGTTTACCCGTCGTTAAAAGTGGCAGCTATAACCTCTACAATGGATACTCATGCTTTTCTTCATAGGAGTGGAAACCAGTGCAAAAGTTGAGAAGCATATTTGACCAATAATCCTCACCCTATGATATGTCTCTTCATTAAGTTCTAAGACGTTGTGATTCAACAGAAATTTCAGATATAAGAATTGATATGATTCAGTTTTGTTGTTTTACTTTTGAATTTTTTTTTTTTTTTTTGTCAACAACTTTATTAGATTAGCTTAAAAAAGTCAATTCTGAAGGATATTGTTTACATAGGTAATAAGATGCGGTTGAGTACGCCTTTTGATCTAGTAGATAAGGAATTGATTAATAATTTTTTTTTTATCTAAGCGTTAGTGGAAGGTGGCTGCTTGAAAATGGATTCCAATGTCTTCAGAGTTTCCATCTTAGCCGATCAAGATCCTTTGCAACATGGTCATCTTTTGACACTTCTTTTTTTCTTTCTTTTTTTTTCTTTATTGCAACATAGACCTAGTAAAAGATCGAAGATGAAAGAAGTATCTTAACCACAAAGCTTAACTGAGATAGGGAATTCAAATTGAGTGTCGAGTTTACAATAAGTATGAGGGACATAAGGCTCACACTGAGTGGCTACTGTTATTTCCCCTATGGTTTGAGATGTGAAACATAATCGATTGATTCCATTGATTCCGTTCAGCTTCAATCGTCTGTTTGTGTTGACATCTCAAAAATGTAAGTCAAGGTCCACTTTCATAACATAGATTAATTACATAGACTAACCTAAGCATTTACCTTGTTTTTGTTTTGTATCTTATATATATGAACGCAAATCAGTTGCAAGATTCCATCAAGGACATGGAATTCTTCAAATAGGGAGATCAGATACAATTAAGACCTGTAAAAGAAAGAAGACTAATTAAAAACATACCATTTTCACAAATAGTGACCGGGAGATTTTTTTTGTGCATGATTGATCACTGGATTTATAAGGACATAAACATAAATTTCATTGATATCACCTCACTTTTTAGTACAGTGAGACAAAATCTGAAGCATACATATCAGTGATAGAGTTAGAAGGCATGGACTCACGACTCTGTGGATATGCAAATCAGATTCACAAAGAGTAACATCCCAACATGTAGAAGTAGGGGATACCTTCTTATTTGATAAGTAAGAAAACCTGAATAATTTTAATGAAAACCCATGAATAAAACAGAACAAAAAAAGGAAGAGAGTAAACTTATGCTCTTTCATCTTCTGGAGAAAGGATCCATGGAGGATGTCTTTGAGTCGAAGGATCGTTAAGAAGGTCGAAGTTGTTGAAAATCATTACCGTATGGTCTCTCTGGACGCCGATCACAGATCCGTAAGCCCTAGGGTTCTGCTAGAACATTCTTTTGTAGCTTTTGCAGAGCCATTCTCGTTTGCGCAGGAGGAAGCTGGAGGATTAACCCTAAAATTTAACCGATGATTACCATAGATTTGACGGTCTTTAATAGATTTGACATAGGTGAAGGAGTCTTGATGAATTTTAAGAAGAAAAGTAAGAAGGTCATGAGGCGTCGTTTAGATGAGAAAATACAAACGTTATATTTGAGGCTTGCAACACATAATCTCAATTAGTAGCTTGGATTTTCTTATGATTGTGATTGGTTTTTTTTTTTTCTTTAATTAGATAGCTGACGTGGCATATGGAGAGATTGATTTTGAAAATCTGACGTGGATAGCTTGAGAAGTCTCAAACAATTCTTTTTATGAGTAAGAGATGTATTATATATCCTGCTACCATTCTCTTTTTCTTCAACAGTGAGAAGTATAGTAACTAAAAAGGTATGGGCCTGATGAGAAGAAAAAAGGTATGTGCCTTATGGCAATATATGAGAATTGTTTTAAATAAGTTTTGCATTTTATGGTCACTTAACAATATCGTTTCCATTCCTTCTTTGCTACTACTTTATCTACAAATTCGTTACGTAGGTTTAACACTAACAAATTCCTAATAGACACAGATATTAATAAATGGGCCGGATCATATATGCTAGACAAATGTTTAGACAAATGTTTACGAGAAAATTTTCGTAAAAGGTACCTTTTGAAACTATAATTTGTGAAATTAGTGAAACCATTCCAATATCATTGCAAAGACAATATGAAAATTAATTTGTACACACTTCTGAAAAGACATATCTCGAATGAAAACATTAAGATTGATATCTCACTATATGCTCTATATATTATTATATAAACAATGGCATGGGAAATTGAAATGAAAAATAATTAAGCAAGGACCTTGCTTGATCTTGAGAATCTTGGTGACCATGTATTACACAATAGAGAAGCTTTTAAAGAGAGTTTCTTCTTTAGGTTTTGTTTTGGTGATTCTCTTTCCATTTCTTTGCTGCTTTCAACTTCTCCAAATGCCTCCATCGCTGATTTCAAATCTATATTTCTAAAACACATTTCATTAGGATTTATGTTGTCAAAGATTTATATTAGTTTTATGCATCAACCAATCAAGTAATACATTTCAATGAGGAGTAATAATATGTGGAAATCATTTTCTTATTATTGACAGAAAGTTAAATATAATAGAGAAAAAAAACACTTGCCTTGAAATGGCCACGATGAGTTTGGCTCTAAAACGTTGTTGCTCGTCTTGAATTCATGTAGCTGCAAAATTCCATTAACCGGTTAAAATCTAACCAAAATCGATCAGTCGTTTTAATGTTTTTTGATCATCTGATTTATTGAATCATCGAAACAGAGTAGAAATGATGAAATCCATAGAAACAGAGCACATCAACGTTGTAACTAAAAAAACCATTGTTTCTAATTGTTTCCAAAAAAAAAAAAATTCTTACCCAACTAGGTGCACTACTGGATGAACTATCCCAACCGATATGTGACACGTGTCGAACATCAGTCGGATAACCAATTTCCATCTCTTCCTCCTCCTCCACATCTACAAAATTTAATCCATTTTTGTAATCATTAGAATGCATTTTCATTTCCATTTAAAGATAAAACTAAACAAGATTAGAAGTTTGATCGATTTACCAAAAATGTCGGAGAAACATTTGAAGCTCTTGTTATAAATCCCTTTGAATCTTGTAGCCATGCTCAAATCAAACACAACAATAAAAATATTTCTACTTATATAAAGAACCGAAACACTACTATAATAATGTTAAAAAGAACAAAATAAAGTTTGGTATAGAGAGCAATGAATCGAACAGAAGAAAAGAAACAGAAATGATTGAAGAGGATGATGAAAATGAAGAAGAAAGAGAAAGAGACAAAATACTCTTTCGTTTGAGATTGGAATAGTATTTAAAGACAAATAAAAAATGGAAGGAGACATGAAAGAGTAGTGGTAATATATAAATAAATATGAAGGTATATATATTCTTGATCAATTATTGGAGAATATAAAATTTGTATATATTTTAACGGAAAACTGAAAAACGAATATCTTATCCGACCAAGGACAAGGAGAATAGAGTTTTCAGTTTTGTTTACCGATGTTATGTATGAGACAATAATTAAGTAAATTAGTTAAAGGTTTAGGTAATCCATTCCACGAGTTTTAGCTCAACTACCAATTCCATCCGTTTACTAGTTACATCCACTCCAATACAACTGTTCAAAAATTGGACTAGAATGGGTTTACGAATTTAATGATTTAAATCTTAAATCTAAATTGTCGTAAACGATTAGAGAAAAAAAAAAAAAAGATAAACAGAAGATTTATAATGATTCGTTTTAATGTGTTGTTTCACTCCACAATTCAACAAAATGTTAGCTTACTCATACCGTGACGATCATATTTTAAGAATAGACAAAATTTCAGTGGCGTTTAAGCAGTATATTTTGTCTAAATGGCATGTAAGTGGTCTAAGCACTCTAGGTATTTTCCTCGTCTAATACATACTTTTATATGTATAAGTAAATGTTACGTATGCCTGCCTAATTCTTCAAAGGTTTTCTTTCAATTATAATACTGGATTTGGACAGTATAACAACTAGAATTTGGAGTTGAAAAAGTAAGAAATTAATAGACTAAAAAAGTGAAGCAAACTTTTATCCTTTTAACTAAACAAAATATCTTTTAATATAAAATACAATCATTTGTTTTCCTTATAACTTTAAAGATGTAGTTAATTAATTATCTTATTTAAAAATCATGATATATCATTAATCTTATATTATAATGTATCATATAATATTTTCTTATAACTTTTTAAACTGCTTAAAATTGTTTATATTTTGATTAAGCATTTAAACTATTTGTAATGTCCTCATGACACATAGCGTTTCTTAACAAAATTACAATGAGTCCCACACAGCTGTGGTCCAGTGGTAGTTGAGAATGGGAAAATGTTGGAAAGAACTAACCCAGGTTCGATCCACGCTAGAAACAAAAAAAAAACATATTTGTGTGGGAAGTCTGAACTTGGGCCAAAAGTCCAAAGCAGTTTACCTGGTACTCTAGTAACATGCGATCTGGCTACCCCTGGCATTAGTCGGAAAACATTCCAAACTCGGGACAGACAGTGTGGTGACTCTTCGGGGAATAGTCCACTCTGAAGCACTTCAGTGCGTTTCTACCGGGGCTGACTGGATCAGCCGATAGGGTTTATCAAAAAAAAAACAATTACAATGAGTGTGAATTTGTTAATGTAGTTCTTAGAATATATTTTTTTATAAACCAAAAATAAATATTGTGGTAGAATATTTCATATAGAAAATGAATATGGATCCTAATATTTTGACCCAAAATCATTTATATTTCTCTAATGAAGTGGTCTCATTCTGGGCTCAGAAAGAGGATTCATATAGTTCACAAAATAAAAAAATGAGGGTTCAAACCTTGATATGGTTTAATGCCATGAAGGAAAGATATGATCGAATCTTAGCCATTCGAAGAAATTAACCACCATATATAGTGGTTAACAACTAGTGTAAAGGTCTCTTGGTTTTATAAAATTGGTTCAACGATAGTATAATTTTCTCGCCTTTGATTAATTTTCATTCATCAACTAAACCAATATGACAATATATATGCAATGCAATCAAAGATTTGGTCCAACAACTGGAAAAACTATAGTAATCTGAAAAGATGATGGGAAAAAACTAGAATAACTGATTTATATTTAAGTACAATTACAGTTTCGTAAGTCTTCACTTAATCTATAGTAACTGGCTAACTGCATAATAGATGATTATTTAAAGATATAATTAAATTAAATTTCTAATGCAATAAATCTTGGGGGTTTTTCAAATGATTTGCTAGCATTTGAAGAAAATAAGATCCACAAATCTAAAACAGACAAAAAAATTGGAAGTTAACGGATAAAGCTATCCGAGCATTAAAAAACATAAATTCCAAATCATATGAATTTTTATTATTCACAATTTTCAAATACATGCCTCTAAACATCTTTACTTTATGCTAAAGTAGTTAACAAAAGACTTTGCTTTGATTAACAATAATAACTAATAAAGCTGTCATTTATTATTATATTAAGCATAACTAATTAATGACTAATAATATATTCATAATCCATACAAGACGCAACAAAAAAATTCTATTGCTGTCAAATCAAATGATTAGCCTTAATCTTTTCTATATAGATTTCGAAAGCTACACATATTGAGTTGTGGCCTTCACGTTTTCAAGATATATGTGTGTATAAATTTTATGTATATGCAATCGTCATTGTCTTAAATTGTAATAACATACAATGTGACTGTGTGAGACAGGCTGTGTGTTTTTTTTTTTTATGTAGGTTGAAAATTTGTGCTTAGTCACTTTCAAGACACCTCGTGCCTTTGGGTTAAATCCATTATTCCCGTAGAAAAATTTTAATTTTTAAATATTTATTAGCCTAAATTTTACTACTTAAATAGTATTTTTGAAATTTTTGCAAACCTTAATTATGGTAGACTAGTGATTTTTTTGTTGTGTTAGTCAAGAATTATCAATTTAAATTTCTACTACAAATTAAAAATTAGCTTATTTTTTAAACTCCCAACTATCAAAATTTTTTAGTTAAACATGTCTATCCGAAATGATATATTGATATGAAACCTAAAATAATATATATGAAATATAGACCAATTTACTAGTGATCAATTAATTTTCAAATTGTAATTCCATTAAGGGGGGTGTATTGAATTAAATATTTGGAAGGGTTTGGTGGAATTTCTATATTTTAGGTTTTGGAGTGATTTGAATAAAATTTTAGGATGGTTGAGTTGATTTGTTTGTTTTTTTTAAAAAAAAAACAAAAATCATTGTTGGGGTCGGATTTCATCCATCCTTTGAGACCGAGCCAAACTTCAACACCTCGGGTTATCCTGCTAGTCAGCTCGGGTACCCTGCCAGTCAGTCTGCCAGTCAGCTCGGGTATCCTGCCAGTCAGTCTGCCAGTCAGCTCGGGTACCCTGCCAGTCAGTCTGCCAGTCAGCTCGGGTACCCTGCCAGTCAGTCTGCCAGTCAGCTCGGGTACCCTGCCAGTCAGTCTGCCAGTCAGCTCGGGTACCCTGCCAGTCAGTCTGCCAGTCAGCTCGGGTACCCTGCCAGTCAGTCTGCCAGTCAGCTCGGGTACCCTGCCAGTCAGTCTGCCAGTCAGCTCGGGTACCCTGCCAGTCAGTCTGCCAGTCAGCTCGGGTACCTTGCCAGTCAGTCTGCCAGTCAGCTCGGGGTACACAGTCAGCTCGGGGTACACTGCCGAGCCTTATACTGCAGTTACCCCGAGGCAAAGTCTCAGTGCTACCCGAGGCTCAGTGCTACCCGAGGCAAAGTCTCAGTGCTACCCGAGGTGATATGTGTATTGTTCCCGAGGCAAAGTCTCAGTGCTACCCGAGGTGAAATGTGTATTGTTCCCGAGGCGAAGTCTGCAAAGTCACCCGAGGCGAAGTCTTCATCATCACCCGAGGCAAAGACTTGATAAATATTCATCTTCAAAGTATCATTTCCAAACAAGGCATCATTTCCGAAGGGTCATTTCCGATAAACCCGGAAATGATAAAGGAGAATCACGAAGGATCAACTTAAATCAGGAAATCTTCCAAAAAACTCCGAAGAATAAGGAAATTATCCTGATCCGCGATATTCTACACCGACTTCAAGATAAATGGAAATCTTCCGAGAATATCGCTGGAGAGGCGGTTTATCACCCCTATATAAAGAGACTCAAGGCTCTCACAGAACAAAAAGCAACATCGCTCTAGAATTTACACTACGCAAAGCTCTCACAGCACAAACATCTTTTTCCTTTTACGATCAAACTCTTGTACGATCAAAGTCATCTTTTTCTTAATAATATCAAGAACACCATCTTTGGTTACAATCGTTTCTGTTGTTCTTTGAGAATTCACGATTATCGTATCCCTAAAATAAAACCCTAGACAAATCTTGATTGTGTTAGTTTCGACTTCCACAGTTTGGCGCCGTCTGTGGGGATTACTTTAGAATTCTCTTACCCTAAGAACGCGAGACTCGAATACCAGAGAGGATGGTAAACGAAGACGATCGTCAGATACCGCCAGCCAGAGGAGGGAACCCTAATGCTCTGAACCCTCAGAATCCTCAAGCCGATCCGACAATCTTAGCAGCCCTAGCCGAACTGAAGGATATGATGGTTAAATTCCAGAAGAAAGCTGACGATCAAGAGAAAGCTAACAAAACCTTGGCGCAGCGAGTCGACGAAATCGCAACACGTGGGCAACAAAAAACCACGCGTTTCCAGACTCGGCCGCCACGAGCTCGGAGGGACTTGCCTGGCATCAACCCAACGAGACTCACGTTCGCGACACCAACCGGCAACACCGGAGTCGCAACCCGAGCCGACCCTGCCAGATGCGAGAACCAAGATGATCCCACCGAGCCAGACGCAGTGGACTTGACGGACGAGCCAGATGATCTGCAAGATGAGCGTACCCGAGCCGGAGCTAACTCCGCCGAGCGAACAGATCTCACTGACGATGAAGAAACTGAGGAGAACGTAAGATGGGCCGAAGAATCCGAAAGGGAGGACGAACTCAGCAAGATCCGAGCCTCCCTAGCCAAGGCGGAAGCTGATATGAAGCTCGTCAAAACCCAGATACATAGCGTTTCATCCTCTGCACCAAACATCGACCGAATTTTAGAAGAATCTCGGAATACGCCCTTCACCAAAAGAATTTCCGAAACGACGATGTCCAATCTGGGGAAGTTCAAAATCGACTCCTACAACGGATCAACCAACCCGAAGTGTCACATTAAATCTTTCGTGATATCCGTAGCCCGAGCCAGGTTCAAGCCCGGGGAGAAGGATGCAGGTCTATGCTTGCTGTTCGTGGAACACCTCAAAGGACCCGCATTAGAGTGGTTTTCTAAATTGGAACGAAACTCGATTGACAGTTTTGACAAGCTGTCGACACTATTCCTCAAACAATACTCCGTCCTCATCGACCCCGGAACCTCCGACGCGGATCTGTGGTCCCTATCTCAACAGCCCACCGAACCGTTGAGAGATTTCCTCACAACCTTCAAATCGACGCTAGCTAAGGTCGAAGGAATTACAGATGTAGCCGCTCTTTCGGCTTTGAAGAAAGCTCTCTGGTACAAGTCAGAATTCAGAAAAGAGCTGAACCTATCCAAACCTACTACAATTCGCGACGC